AGGGTGAAGAACCCCTTGGAGGGACTCCAGTGGGGCAGGCTGGGTTACCAGGACAACCAGTCTCCTATGGGATGTAATTCCTAGCTATCCTAATTAATTAAACTTATAACAATTGTGAAAATCCAATGCTATGCCTGCTCATAGGGATATTTTGTGCACCTGAAGGCTTTCATTAAAAGACTGCCCTTTATGTTATCAATCCTAATATTGTTTTGAGGGTTTTTCTTCCGATTCTGGGCAACAGGAGCATCAGCAATTTCAGAAGAGCTGTTTATCACTGCTCTCCTGCCAGCATGGCTTGCTTTGGGGATTTATGTTTTTATTTTTTTGTCCTCTTGGTGCTTGTCCAGAAATTTCAGGCAAGTGGGAGCCTTTCAGCTGCCAGGAGTAGCAGGTTAGGGAAAGTGTGAAATGAAAAATGGGAACAAGGTTTGTGAGGACCTCTGTGGAGGCAGGATGACTAGAAGGGTTTTAATGCTGGGTGTAATTTTAAAAATGCATCAGAATGCTCTGCAATGATAAACAATTGTAGTTTCCTTTTTAATAAATGTGACCTTTCTCTGAAAGAGCTGTTCTTCTTCAGTGGCTGCCAAGTCAGATCCATCCTTAGGTGTGTGGGCCACCTCCCTCAGCTTCAACAATGAGGAATTTAAACATGGGCATCATGGCCTCCACACGAAATTTATATAAAATCCACAATAAAAAATCCACAGTCTGAAATTCATATAGACATTAATATAAAATTACACAAACGTGCTTCAGCAGAAAGGACTCTTTTTTTGAAGTAAAAGTTCACAGTCACAGGGAGCTCAGTCTAAACAAGATTTTTTTTCCCCTTCTGAGTAGAAGTTTGAGGCAGAGATACAGGGACTGATCATGATGGCTTTTAAAAGCAGCCAGTGTGGTTTGCCTGTGGTTCAGATTCTTCAGGGACATGTCCCAGCCCTCAGCTGACTCCTCAGGATTGGGAAGTGGCTAAAGGAGATTGTGGAGCCACTGGTGATTCCCTAAGCAGAGGACAGAGTTGGGTCATTTCTACTCCAAAGGACCTCACAGCACCTGTAGGGAATACAAACACTTCAAAAAACATTTCAAAGGCAGCTGTCCAAGCTAAGCTTTTCCTTACCCTCCTTCTACTGAGTGCAGTCAGTGAGGAGATGCAAGTCCACTTTACAGAGTGAATCCCCACCAGTGCCACCTTAAAATGGGATTATTCCTGTCTGGAAAGTCTCTCTCCCTGAGCTACAGAGGAAACTTTGCTGAGCAGGGAAAATGGGTAAAAAAAAATAAAAATAAATAATAATAATAAAAAATAAAGTTAGAAGTTCAACTAATCCAGATTTAACCTGTAGTTGCATGATTTTGTGTTTCCTCAAAAAGTCAGCAGCACAGAATAGGGACTCCCAAAGGATCATCCATCCCCCAAATGAGAGGGGTGAATAAGTGGAATAACTGAGTAAGTGGAGGCACTTCTCTGCCCATCCTATGGGAAGGCCAGAAGCACTTACCCAGGACCAGATTCCAAGTTTGGTGACTCTTCTGTTATCTGGGATGAATCCCACAGTGTTCCCCAGAGAGGAATTCCAGCTGCAGGCTGCGGTGCAGACATGGAAGGCAGGGTTTGTGCCTTCTGGAAACAGCTTTGGGTTGTGCCAGGGGAGGTTTAGATTAGATATTGGGGAAAAATTCTTCACTGGAAGAGTGGTCAGGCATTGGAACTGGCTGCCCAGGGAAGTGGTGGGATCACCATCCCTAAAAGTGTACAAAAAACACGTGGATGTGGCACTGGGGGACATGGCTTAGTGGTGGACTTGGCAGTGCTGGTTTGGTGCTCTGAGAGGGCTTTTCCAGCCCTAATGACTCTGTAAATCTGTGATTATTTTGACTGCAAGACCATCCATTAGCAAGACCACCATCTGTAATTTTTTTTTTTTTTATTCCATCCCACGTGAAATCTTATTCTTTAAAACCATTCCTTGTTATTACTGATTTCCTAAGATGGTAAAAATTAGGAAATATTGTCCAGCCTCAATTGGAGTGTGTGAGCCACCTCTTTCCAAGCCCTATCGAGCATCCCTACGTCACTGGGCAGTGGGGAGACCCAGCCAGTGCCAGAGGAGACCTTGCTGGGCAGTTTCACACTCAAGTCACTTTGATTTCCGTGGGCAGATTTCACCCAGCAGGAATTGCTGGCTGCAGCATGGTTTACAAATGCAGGGAGATCGTGCATGCTTCCCTTTATTCCAAATAATTTTTTTTTTTTTTTGTTGTTGTTGTTGTCAGCTTTTTCTTTGCTCTTCTAAATGGTTTATTTCAAATACTCTTTTCCATGCAGGATTGGACAATGTCTTTATTTATGGGGAATTCTTAACAATCTCCATCTCTCCCCTATTTTGAGATAAATTACTTGACTTGCTGCTTCTCTCTCCCCTCTCTCCCAATATCAGCACAACAGTGTTTTCTACAACAATGAACTTGTAATTTCTTTCTAAATGGGGCTGGTTTTTATCTCTGCATGGAATTACCACAAAATCAGCCACCTGCTACAACTGAGTTTCATCCACACTGCCGTGGGATATTTACACTGTGGCTGTTCCTGTTCTGCAGCCTGAGGATTCCCTTGCATTTCTCTGCTTTGCATTGTCCATTGCTGGATAATATCTATATATTGGAAGATATCTATGTTGAAATAATAAGAAAAAATATGAATTTTTTTCCTATTCCTATTCAACACAGTTAAATCAAGCAAGGCCAACAGGTGTTTCTCCAAAGATGTCATTAACCACTGATTATCTCCAGCATCTCTTGTAAGCAAATGTCTCATTAACGTGGATGTTCACATATAATTTACTTTTGTGCATAGTGCCACACTTCAGTGACCTATAAACCTGTTACTGCACATCCTCAGATTCACATGGAAAATGCATTTCCTGCTGTGTGGACAGACATGAGCTATCAAAGACAATAAAATCTAATAGCACTCGATGTGGTCTGGATTTCCATCTTTAGTAGATAAACAGGATTACAAAATTATAAAATCGGGATATCCTGAGCTGGAAGGAGCCCACAAGGATCACTGAGTCCGACTTCTGGCCCTGCACTGGACACCCCAATGTCACCACCATGAGCTGAGAGATTCCAAACCTTTCAAACCCCAGGTTTTGAGACTTTTAGAAATATTCTAGTGAACTACAGCATTCATGGGATGAGATCTGGCAAAGGAAACAATCTGGGAGAGGAGTGGGAAAAGAGGAGAAAATATAAAGGATCCCTTTATTTTTTTCCCAGCTCCTGTGAAGATTTCATGAGAATTTTTGCCACAGTTTTGTATTTTGGTGGGTCTAGTGGATCGTGTTATTATGATTATCACAACAAGGTTTTTTGACACTCATTCTCCAAACACCAGCTCGCTCAGACCTGCTCTGCTCACCACACGTGGAGCTCTCAGCCTTATATTTTTGTGAGAAAACATAGGGCTGGATTTGCTACCACTGAAGCTGATGGGAAAAAAAGAGACAGCAGTTCCTGTCCTGAGAACATTCCTGCTCTACCAATGGGTAGAACCAGGACCAGGACCAGGACCAGGACCAGGAGGATCTGCTGTCACCAGAGCTGATGGGGCCCACACAGCTCTTACAAGTTCATCACCCACATCTCGTTATATTGGACTCGTGCCAGGCAGAAAGTAACACTTGGAGGTATTATCTGCTTTTCCTGAAGGTTTTATTTCCCTTGGCATGCAGTCAGAGACAATTTTGACAGAAAACCTTGCAGAAAATCATGGAGCTGGAGGCTCTTTTTCGGTTGATAGGATTATTTATTCAATCTCGACATCAAATTCAAGTAAACAGTGGAAATATTTAGGTTTGCTTCCTCTTTCTTTTCCTGCTGAGGCAAAAGATGACTTTAATTTGAGATTCACTCACTAAGTTTTTGGGGTTTTTTTAATATTAGTAGGAAATTTGAGAGATTGCTCTGGGTTTTTGTGGACACTGGATAAGCCTTCTAGGTTTTTGAGCTGGTAAGATGGTGGCTTGAAGGATTACAGGAAGATTTATTCTTCTTGAAAGCCAGTTTTTCACACCTCTGGCACAGAGACCAGAAAGAATCAGGACCTGGGTTCATTTACTGTATCTACAATAAATTTCAGATTAATTTTTCTTATATCCCAAGAGAAGACAGCTCCCACCCTCAGTCCTCTTACCTCCTCTTCCTGCCTTCATGTAACAGGAAATTGGTATTTTTTTCCACTCAGACCTTTGCTTCAAAGTTTGTCACCTGAAGCCTCATCATTGAACTGTTATTAAAGACCTGAATCTATTTTTAGCTGATGCAAGAAATCATTAGAGGTCAAAAAAATCCTCTTTTGACACTGTGAGTTTATATTTTCTGGAGCAAAGACTGCAGTAAAAATAATGGATGATGTTAGGACAGTTCTTTGGTAAGGAATGACATTCTTTTAGAAAATAATCAGGATGGAAGAGTGAGTTTGCTTCACATTTCCACAGAAATGGCTGCAGGATGAAGCAGAAATTGCTTTTCAGTTTTCAGAAAAATTCCAAAATGAGCGAGTTCCCAGACCTTCACAGGGATTAAAACCAAGAGGAATTAATAGAATTTAATCAAAGATATGATCCATGAATTGTTTTTTTGTGTTTTTTTTTTTAATTAACCCAAACACTTCTGAAAGATAACTAAATGGCAGCAGGTTTCATACCCAAGGGAAAATTTGTTTCTGGCATGTTGAAGTGATTTAATTGGGACTAAGGAACGTCACCTTCTGGGAGGGTAGAGTCTGGCCATTCCTGTGTGATGCCACTAAGCATTTTATGCTTTTCCTATGAATTAAAAATATTTTTTCCCAGGGAAATTGACGCTGTTTGTTATTCTAAACAGGAATATTTTTATTTATAGAAGGAAGAACCAACCACAAAGCTCAGTGTGAGGAAAGGGATGGATTTCCACCACTAATGTATTTTATCCCTCCTTCTCTTCCTCAGGTTGCCCAGGAATGTGGGACAATATCACATGCTGGAAACCTGCAAGTGTGGGGGAAATTGTCTTTGTCAAGTGTCCTGCACTCTTCAGATTTATCATCTCTGAGGATGGTAAAGTATTTTCCCTTTGTTCTTCACCTCTGCCTGGTAAATCCTCGTGGCCAGCACGAGTGTAAAACCTCACTTAGATCCTCAGGATGAAGAGACATCAAAAACTCTACAGCTGGGCTCTGGTTATAAATAAATGGCACAAAGCCAGGATATTTGTGTGTAGATATGTGAGTGTGCATGGGGTGGGAGGGAAGGTGTGAATAAAAGCCTTTACAGACTACCCAACATGAAAATATCACAAATTTAAACTGCTAAAGGGAATATTCTGCCCTCAGGTCTCACCGAATTCAGTGAGGACCCAAATCTATGTTTGGTAACACAATTGGAATCTATTTTAGCGAGTTATGAAAATGTGGAGCAGGTTCTGCTTGTGCTGAAGGAAAACATAGGCTTGAGAAGAACAGCGAGGAGCTCCCATGTTGGGGGTTCAGGGAGGAATTAAAGACTTCTGGAGAGAGGCAGAAGTTCCATCATACCTTTTTTTTGTGGTCTGTGGAAATGAGACATGAACACCCTTCTGTCCCCGTGCTGGGAATGAACACAGACTGCTCCGTTTGCTCCAGCAGCTTCACCCACTGCAGGTCCCTCAATTAGCGATGTCTCTTGAGGAACAATTTCACCACTGTCCCCCATGGGATCCTTTTTCCCAAAGCTTATTTTACCAGTTAATTATGATTAATTATTAATTATTCATTTACAGCCTTGAGTCCAAAATCTGCTCTTTTTTTGCATCACCACACACAGGGAGCACCATTTTTTGGAGGCAATGTTTCATACACAACTCCAAGAACACTGAAATCCTCACCTTTAACACGTCCAGGCACCAATGTCACCTAACCCTGACCCACTTTAGAAACAAAATTAACTCAATTTGACCAGTTCCAGGTCTTAGGTAAATGGGTACCTGTTAATGGAAAAAATAAATTAAGTAAAAATATTTTTATTTATTTGAAGTATATAATTTAAATAAAAATAATTAGATTTTTATTTTATTTATTTTTATACCTACTTAAACAAAATTTTTATTGATTTAAATAAAATCAGGATTTTTCTTGTATTGATTTAAATGAAGGTTTTTTTTCTTTGCATAAAATTATTCAAACAAGAATAATAAAAAGTGTTTGCGTTAAAAAATAATTTTCAAATTTTATTTTCAATAAAAATAATAGAGCCTTTAGCAGAACAAATATATAAAAAAATAAAAATAAAAATAAAAATAAAAATAAAAATAAAAATAAAAAAAATTAAAAATAAAAATTAAAATTAAAAATAAAAATAAAAATAAAAATAAATATAGATCCACATATAAATATAAATATAAATAATAATATAAATAGCAATAGTAATAATAATAAAAATAATAATATAGATATAGATATAAATATATACAAATATAAATATAAATATAGATATAAATATTTATATATATAAATATAAATATAAATATAAATATAAATATAAATATAAATATAAATATAAATATAAATATAAATATAAATATAAATATAAATATAAATATAAATATAAATATAAATATAAATATAAATATAAATATAAATATAAATATAAATATAAATATAAATATAAATATAAATATAAATAGGCTTTATTTGTTTATTTATTTATTTATTTATTTATTGCTCTATTTATTTTACCTATGTAAAATAAAGGGCTGAAATAACATTTTAAAATAATTTTCCCAGGATTTACAGATCTCCTCACGCATTGTTCTTCCTGTTTGGCCTGTGATGGGGTGACAGTACGACCCTAAGGGAGGAATATTCCATCCAGTGGAAACATATGTCCCGTTACTTTATCTCCTCACGGGATCCCCAATAAAAATAACAGCTGCTGCCTCGTGTAAACTCTGGGTTTGAGGGGGTTTTGGACATCTGTTCACTAGGAACAAACCCAAGATTCATAATTCATTAGATAAACAAATAAACATTTAACCTGCAGTATCTGGAAATCTCAGCAGATGTGGCTGGGATTGCACTGCTGACCCCAAGATGGAATTATCAACATCCCAAATCACTCTCCTGGGTGAATCAGAATCAGCTTTGCCATTGTTGCTGCTAATTTTAATTAGCCAAGTGCATTTGTTCAACGAGGGTTTAATGAAAAAAGTCACATTTCATGATGGTTCCCTAAATAACGGGTTATTAGAGAACTCTAATGTTTGTAAGACATGGATAATCACATTTTAGGGATTGTTATAGTGTCCTCTGGCTGCTGCTCTGTTTCTAGAATATGGAGCTAGGCTGGGAATGGACACTAATATTTATTAATAGCAAAATCATTCCTAGTACAGCAACATTTTTCTATGGCCACAGGTAATTTTTACAACCTCAGCAATAGCTTTAAATTATACTTTTTAAAAGTTTGTGCTCTGAAGCACCTGTAGGTACAGCGTAATCAGGAAAATCATGGGGTGTGCTAATCTTAAAGAGTGGGTGGGAAATATCTCATTTGGCTTTGGATGTTTAAATTTATATGTGAATTTATGAAGTGATCACATGGATTTCTGGCTCAGTGAGCAGAAATCAATGGGCACTTGTTGAAGATGCTTTCTCTGACCTCTCTCAAATGCTGGTCTGGAGGTGAGCTGTCCCTGCTTCTTTTATGAATTTCAGAAAGGAATCTGACTGCCTTGACTTGGATGTCTATTTCCATATGGAACAAAATGGGGAAAAAAATAAAAGAGACTGCAAAAGAAATATTAACTAACTGAGCTGTCAGCTGGAGGGATGCTTTTTTGGAAAAATTAGCTGTGTATTTAGCTAAAAATACCAGCTGTTGCTGGTTTTATCTGCTCTGCTGTGACCTTCACTGCAGTTGAACCAAGGAGTAACGTTTGAGCTGCTGTCAACATCATGCAGAAAGTTCAAAATTAAATCCTGTGTGCTTGGCCACCCTGTCTTCTGAAATTTCATTTCTCCTCTCCAAAACCACCACAATTCTTCATTCCTTTCAGGTGCAGACTGTGAACAAAATTATTGTTCTCAAAATCTCTCCACTGGAGATTCCTTTCCTCCAATGGAAAAAAGCTTATTAGTTCCCGACTCTTTTCTCATCTTGTAAATTAGGGATTTTTAATTTAATGTAGTTTAGGGATTACCGTCTTTTCTTCTAGATAGTTCCCAAAAAATTAATTTTTTTCCTCTTCCACGTGGATTTCTTTGATTGATATCCATCCATCATTGTTTCCACCAGGAGCTGTCACTTCCATGGCCTCTCTGTTGTATGTTACTGCTTCTCCAGTGCCTTCCCAGCTCCAGAAACACCCACTCCACAACAGGACATATTTAAATCATCCTAAGGCATCTTTGCTGGGATAAAAAGAAGAAAACCATAGTCAGGCTGTGATGTTGCCTTTTAATAGCACACAGCAAGACCTAGAGGTGGCCCTAACACAGGGATCTGCACTCCCAGCTGGAGAATTTTCTCTTCTTTGGGTGTTTTTTCCAATTTTTTTTTTTATTATTTTTTATTTTTTTCCAGACACAGGTGATAGTGCCTGGCATTGGAAATCTATAGAAGCTAAATCTTTGGTTTTTTCTGCTTTGTACTGTACAGCCAAAATATTCTGGAACCTAAACACACACCTGAAATGAAACAGAATGAAACCCAGTAACCAGATCAGAAATGAACATATTTTCCATCCTTTGATTTGCAGTAAAAAATAATACAAAGAATAATAGACAGTTTCTGAGCATTCCACATTTGGAAAACGCTTTCATTCACAAATCCAAATAATAAATATGAACAGCTCTTACTGAATCTTCCAGCAATTCAGTTTATCTGGTGCTCAGTTTAGGACACTACATTTGCCACAAACATTGTTCACTATGTGCAACAGAGAAAATTCTCCTAAGTTTTACCAAAGGCATAAAACCTATCCCATGTTGATACTAGGATTAAGGGTTCCTAATTAAAATCCAGTGGAATAAAGAATGTAATCAGGTATTAGAGAGTTTAAAAGGGAATTACATCCTATGCTCACATTTCAGACCCAAACTCTTTGGCTTGTTGCTTCTCTTGGTTGAGCACCATCAGTGCTCAGGCGACGAGCTCTGTCATCCCAAGAAATTGGAAATAGTCTGTCACTGATGCCATTTAAAACACAGGGATACACTCAAGTACTTTGTTGTACTAATTAATTGATTAATTGATTGTCTGTAAGAACCCTAAGCCTCATAAGTGCTGCACTAGAGCTGCTGCAGGTGGACAGTGGGATTTATGAACGCGGGGTTAATCAGATTTGGGAAGCAGTCTGTGCCTGAGTTTAGACCTTATCCCTAATCAATTAGAGTAAGATGACAAGAGAAGAGTTAATGAGGGGAGAAGTGATGCTCCATCTTCGAAGTGGAGAGGCTTTTTGTGTCCTTTCTTGGGGGACAGTCCTGGTGAAGCCTTTAAAAGCTGACATGGGAAATTGGTACAAAACCCCCAAACGGGGTGAAAAGACAATAAAAGTCTTTTGCTTCCCAAAGTGAAAGCTGTTGAAAATATTTGCAAGTTACAGTTTCTATTAGTTTGGGTTATGTATTGATAGTTTTTTTGTTTAGACAGGAAGAAAAGGTGATTGATAAAGATCAGGGGCCTCCTAAACACCAGAATATCCCTGGGGGATTGTGTGCTTATTTCCTACTGAGGTAAAACATGCAGAATTTTGTTGCTACTACTGAAATTAAGGGCAGCATTGCAGCAGAGAGAAGTTGGAAATTGCATTTGCCTGTCAAAAAGGCAAAAGATCAATGCAAAAGTCCAGATTTCTCTTCTAAGGATGTTTTGTTTGGGTGAGTGTTCCAACATCCTGCTTGGAAACCAAGGGAAGGAAAACCCTGCCACCAAGTTTCTCTGGAAAACATGTATGACCAATCCCAGCATTCTCATCATGGGAATAATAATGAGCCACTGGAGCTTATTTTTATTTATTTTATTTATTTATTAAAGCTTATTATTTATTGAAGCAATCAGGACTCTGAAACCTTTGTTTC